CGTAGAGCAAATTACTGCGAATATGTATGGCACTGACGTAATTTGCATAGAATTTTCCTCATCTTCATACTAATTACTTTTATGATAATTTATTTGTCTGCCTTAGTTGTGGGAAATGCGCCCAGCTTGGAGTTGATTCCCGTATAATTTTCATCAGAGCATTAAATGTTTACCGAGCGTTGAGCTTTGCCTGATAGCCGGATCACTGAAGCAATTATACCGAAATGTCGTTTAAAATATTCTCTCTCAATGCTTGTTCTTTATAATAGAATTTTGGTTTAGATCGATTATATATTATATATATACTGATTTCTTGAGTTGTTTAAAATTTATTTTATTTTTATGAATTATTAACTTCCCGTAGTAATCGCAAAATTTCGATAATGAAAAGTTGTATATATCTCTACGTTTCAAAGATTTCTGAACATTTTAGCATACATTAGAAAAAATGGATGTATGTGTGTAATGCATAAATTAAACAATTTGAATGATTCAAAAAACGTGCTGATTAGTTTTTGGCAGATTCAGTCATTTTGTAGATACTGGGCGAAAAGTACCAAAAATGGCAATTCAGGTTTTAAGAGAATGGAGCGTCAGATTTCAATAAAACAAAAAACATTTTACTTGTATTAACAAAGTGAAGATCTTACTAAATTTTTGGATATGCAAGTTTTGAGTATCGCGTAATAAAAGTAAAAAAAACATATGGCGGTCAAAAATGATACCCATATGCACATCAAATTATCAGATATTTTATAGAAATTTTGTTAATAAATACAATTTATTTACATTTTTATAGAGCGCATATCAGTGTTCATCGTTACCACGGTCACGTACTTCAATATTTTGTCTCTAAAACAGCACGCAAAATTTTTTAAAAAATCAAAATATAAAAACAAGTTAAAATTTTTCAAAAAACTCACAAAAATCAAATTTTTCAAAGCTTGTAAAAGCATTTAAAGGTATTTTAGAAATTTCAATTTTTGGTACAAAAGTGTCAGCACAATTGCCTTAAGGTATGATTGCATGCACAACTAGTAAGGTTTTTATTTTTTACTTGATTTTGTTTATGAAGATAATGTTTAGTATTTTACCATTATACAATCCTGCTTAAATGCGCGAACTTTTGATGAAACTTTCCAAGATACTTTGGTACATTTTTTTAAAGGAGAGCCTTTCAAAGTGAATCAATTATAAAAAATTTAAATTTGTAGTAATATTTTTTACAGTTTATTCTTTTTTAATGTAATTGTAGAAATGTTACGGTTAAGGTTCCAAATTTTAAATAAACAAAAATACAGTAGAAGTCCTTTAGTCCGTTGTCGAACTTTCGAAAATTCTGGACTATCGGGTGGTAATTATAAAAACAATCAGATTAATAATTAAACTACAAAATTACTAGGAAATGCAAACAACAAAGCTTATTTTACATTTATTAGAATGTATATTTAAAATATTTTTTTTAATCTTTAACAAAATTGCAATTATTGTTATTTATTTTTATTATACAAATTTTAAATACTACCAATGGATAGTATTTTAAAACTTATCTAATATCTTAGTCACAACAACTACTGAATACTTCTCATTCAATTGTAGTTTGATGAAAATAAAAAAAAAAAAAAAATTTTGGAGTCGTAGCAAAAAAAAAAATTGTAGATTTCTAGCCTAGAATTTCGGTGGTTTTAAGTTTCTGATTGAGAGTTAGTGTTGCATGTTTCATTTCTTTCCTCTTGAATACGAGAGTTTAAGTTTCGAAAACATGGTCACAGTTAGGTTATTAAATTTTGTGATATGTGGGTAATGTGTCGCAGTATTCAGTAGACTAACTTAAAAAACGGTTGAATCCTTGTAGAACGTAGGGGCTACGTATTTCGTAGAACATACTTTGTTCATGAACGGTATTTACCATAGTTTCAACAGTTACCCAACAATTGCTAGTCCTTCCGTATGATTTCGAACTACTCCGAAAACGTTCTAATCGCTTTTCAGCATATTAATTTTTTATAAAGACACATTTTTAGAAATTTTTGAAAAATTGCCGGACTATCGGGCATGCCGAACTGTTGGGTGCCGGACTTATATTGTAATAAGAATTGATTACAACAACTGATACATAATCACATTGACCAAAGTTTTAGGCTTTAAGGGAAAGTTTATAATTTTCAAACTACAAGTAATCATTTTTTTAGATTTTTTCATGATTGCATCTATTAATAGTATCACCCCGCCATGACATTGAGTTCTAGGACATCCTGTATATTTTATTTATGTTACATCATGTCTTATTGAATTACTGCATCCAAATAAACTGTATATAACTGATTGGCAATAAGTAAATGATTAACTAAATTAGTTGGTATTGGTATTTTGCCTTGAGACAAGTTTCATGAACTTCCCGATATGTGTAAATTATCGACTTAATCAATAAAAAATAAATTAATTTATGAGTTATTAAAAGTAGCCCGAGTGGATTTATTACACATAATTAAAAACGAACGAACACGTTAACTTGGAGTATTTTCTAAAAGCAAGTTTTCAAAAATCAACAATTTTTATTACTGAACCAGTTTCCGTAAGACATTAATGGTTTAGTATGTTCATTAAGACCAAGTACTCTATCGCAGGGTTTCTTAAAGTGGGGGTCGCGACCCCCAGGAGGGTCGCGAGACTACTGGACGGGGGTCGCACAGCTCAGATACTTTTCAGTCATTATAAATAAAATTTACTTGTGTAAAAGAAAAACACTTTGGAGAAGTATGTTACTTTGAATGATAAATATCTATTGGCATCGTATGATTTACCGAGAGGCACTTGTTGTTAAAAAAATTGCACCAGAATTAAACACTGTGTTTTCTGATGCAGTCAAAATCATTAACTTTATTAAAAGCCGAGCACTTAATAGTCGATTGTTTAAAAATTTGTGCATTGATATAGATTCGGATTATACTTTATTGCTACATGCTGAAGTTAGGTGGCTATCAAGAGGTCGAAGTTTGAAACGATTATTAACTTTAAAAGATGAAGTTTTTATATTTCTAACAGAGCAAAATTCTAATTTGGCCGATTATTTTCACGATAATTTATGGCTTATCAAGCTATGCTTTTTGGCAGACATTTTTGATAAAATCAATGATGTGAATTTATCAATGCAGGGAGTCTGCGCTAATATATTTATGTTAAAAAATTAACTTGAGGCCTTTGTTAAAAAAATTCTTATATGGAAGAACAGAGTGGAAAGTAACAATATTTCAATAAAAGATACTCCTATAACATAAATTATATTTAATCATTTGAAGGATATGGAAGTTTATATGCATAGGTATTTTCCCAATGATATCGATACACACCAATGGATTTGCAATCCATTTTCAATTGAAATCGAAGAAATGAATTTTTTAAACTTATAAGCACAAGAAGAATTTGCCGAATTATCAAGTGATACTACCTTGCGACTAAGATTTTCTCAAGTGCCTGTGCATGAATTTTGGATAGAAATGAAATCAGAATATCCCCTACTATCGGAAATAGCAATGAAAAAATTACTGCCATTTTGTACAACATATTTATGTGAATCAGCCTTTTCCACATTAACTTATATAAAATCAAAATACCGTCCAACTTTAATAAACGTAGAAAATTTATTACGATCTGCACTAACTCAAATTGAGCCTAGATTTAATTATTTGTGTAAAAATAAACAATCACATCCGTCACATTAATATTGTTTGATATTAATAATATGTTTTTATTGAAAAAAATGTTACAAAAGTTTATTTTTTCTATTGAATAAATAAATATATATATAATTTTGTCATTCTATTCATTGTGTTTTATTACGAACAATATCCCGTCAACGTTTCCAATAATAAATAATAATATATATATATATATATATATATATGTGTGTGTGTGTGTGTGTGTGTGTGTGAAATAAATGGATACGTATTCTTTAATTCTTATTTTATTTACATTGTAAAATAGTGTGGTATTACATCTACATCTACGGTTAATATATATTTTATTATTATTTCATTATATGAAGGAGGGGGTCATTAATTTCCTGAGCTTGAAGGGGGTCGCTATATAAAAAAGTTTAAGAAGCCCTGCTCTATCGTTATACCAAGTAATTCGCCTAACTTTAATTTTAGCAAACGTCAAAAAAACTACTCATTTGATAAATTTTTAAAATTAAACTACTTGCTGTAAGACCGTAATATATCAGTAAGTTCTATAAGACTATGATATATATGGCCCAAAAAAGTTCCATAAAATTTGGTTTAATTTCAATTTTAATTTTTCAACAGTTAATTACAAGAAAACGACTCGGTAGATTTTTACCTAAAAATAATCAGTATTATTCCGAACTAATATCTTTCGAACAGTTTTATATTTTTTAGTCGATTTTTCAATTCGATTTGGTAGTATGAGCTTAAATATGGACGAAAAGTTTAACACTTTTTTCCTAATGTCAAAGAAACGGCTTGGCAGATTGTCGCACAAAACTGACAAACGATAGTCCTCATCGAGATACATCAAATGGTTTTTAAATTTCTGAAATTGATTCAGGTGTTCTTAAGAAATGCCAAAAAACGATACCAATTTTTGCTAACTTTGACGAATTTTTAAAGTTAAACGAGTTGTCGTAGGGCTGTGCCGTAATATTTTTGTATGATCTAGAAGACTATGGTATCTACCGTCAAAAAAATAATAATTAAAATCGTCGAAAAAATTGTTTTTAACGCTTTATTACAAGAAAACGGCCTGGCCGATCTTTACCAAGAACTAAACAGCGCGATTCCCAACCAATATCTTTCGAACAGTTTTCGAATTTTCTAAATCGAATCAAAACTGCGGGCTAAAACATGGACGAAATTTTTTGCAATATATCTGAATCTGTAATATCTGAATTTGAAATATGTACTCGTATACAAATAGCAGCATAGAATAGAAAATATCGTATTGTATACATATATTTCAACAGTACCATTTTGTTGCAGTGTCAGAATCGGATTCGCACAGTTCTGGCGAGGATGATGATATGCGAGGTGGACATGGCGACAGCCCGCATGGGGATCGCAAAGCGCCCGAGTACCGACCGCCACCCACACCGGCGGGACAGGCGGTGCGTACCACCACCATGAAGGAGATAGTTGCCGGCGAAGAGCGGCCAGTACTTGTCACCAACTGCCGAGCGGATGGTGAGATATTAACATGTTGTATTGGAGACTACCTCCTAGCACTGACTTAGTTAGTGCATTAATTTCTTGGCACATGGTTGTATGATGTAATAAGAGAGCTGACATACAAATTTGTTGTATCATACGTCTACATGCTAAGAAATGTTAACATTATATATTTGCTGCATGCTTATAAAGAACACCGGAGCTTTGCTCGTCTCTGATTTTGATGAAACTTTTTGTACAAACTGACCGTATTATAATATTAGAGGCATATGAAAAGGGGTTTATTATGAAATAATTGAAAACTTAAATTAACTTTAATATTATTTACTCATGCAAATATAAATATGAAATTAAATAATATAAAAAATAATAAACTTGAGATGGGTTTGAACCCTGAGCATAGTCGCAACGCTGCTACCGATGCGAAAGACCGTTGCAAGCTATGTATACTGCAGGCTACTAAAATGCATTCTTTAATTAATTTTTATAATTAAACCACTTTTATAAGCCTTTAGTAATTTACCATAATCAGTCTGGGCATAAAATCTAGTATTAAGTTTCATCCAAATCTGAGACGGACTACTCGCGGATTCTCTTTGTTAAAATTTTGCTACTATGCTTTTTGCTGTATTTCCACTAATCTTGCTGACAAAACATTGTGTTCGTAGATAATCTGTACAGATCATTTGTACCTCTAATAATTTTATAATGTAAATAATGATGTAATATTTCATAAAACCCGCAGGAAATATGATTTTCGACTTATTTAGCATATCATCTTAAGTTAACTGTGGCACCTTTATTTAAAAGCGCTGTTGTATGCCGTCGGAATCGAGCCATAATGACGCTTTATTAAGAATGAAAAGAATATTCATCAATCACAGTGAACTGGTTAACATTTTAAAGAAAAGTTAGGACCGCAAAGAATTCGTGTATAATCTAAATTATTGATAATTGAGGTCCATCTCTTAGCAAAGAACATGCTTCAAATGCTCTTTTGATTTGTTCAAATTTTTCTTCAAAGCAATCTAGTAGAAGAGACCGGGTACGTAGCAAAAAATATTGACACTTTAAAAATATACGTGCTTTAGACGTAATTTCATATTGTAAACTTGTTCCAACAAACTTACTTCATTTTACTCTTTTTAGACCCCAACTCAAAATCTGAATAGTTCTGCTGTTATGACAACTGTCACTACCGTACCCTGGCACAACCGGGACCCATTCCACCTATAGAAATCTATCTTTTTATTAATGCCAAATTATTTTATTTCTATGACAAATGCCATATTGGTATGGTAAGATTGGTAGGCGTTTGCTTCATGTATTTTGTTTGCGTATAAATTAATGATCTATGCCCTAAAATTTTGCTTATGTCGTAAAAGTTAATTATATATAATTAACTGAAATAATAAACTGCAAAGTGCTATAGAACACGATACCCCAAAAATCACTAGTGTTCGAAATTTTGAGTGTTGAATTTCTTGTTATAATGGACTTAAAGGTCCAAAGTTCAAAGAACGTTTGTAACATGAATATCTAATTTTGTGGTATTTAAATAGTGTGTAAAATTAATAATCGAAACTAATTGTCTTCGTTTATCACTATTTGTTTTATTAGCTAAATTTATTTTTTTATTAAATTTGTCTATTATAACTATCTTCATATATGTAAAGAGTAATAGAGTAACTATTAATATAATGGAGTAAAATCTCTCTGAGTACGTGAAAATCTAACGGTGTTTATCTGCTTTTTTTTTAAGGAGTTACACTACTGTAGATTTTTCGAAAAACCAAAACAATTTTTTAATATACGTTGAACCTTTTAGAATATGAGGAAAAATATTCCATACCTAAAGCTTTATTTTTTTACTTGTAATTATGAGTTTTTTCCCATGCGCGTCGGGCTGCTCCGAACCGACACCGCTCAAATTCATTAACAAAAAATATTATAAAGAAAAATGACAACGTGTATCTTCTTAAATATACTAATATATGTTATTATATAATATTTATATTGCATAAATTAACTGTAAAACATTTTTAACTTTAATAGATGATCAGTGCAGATTCAACACATATAAGGGTTGACTATATTGCGGCTGATATTGCTGTGGATAACTTTAACGATAGCCTAAGCAATATTTTATTAATGAAAATAGTTTTGGAGATTAATATTGACATCTAATCATATGATTATTTTCTTAAAGTCGATTATAAACGTTTTAAGCATTCCGAACGGTCTTTGACGAATGTGCCGAAAATAGGATGCTCTGATATAAAATCATCAAAAGAAGAAAATAAGAAAAAAATTATAAAAATAAAAAGGCATCAGTATGTTGCTGGGATATCACATTAATAGTAAAAAATATTGAACTGTTTTTTTTTAAATTTTTTTTCTTATTTATAATTTATTTCGAAACTTTAAACGCGTTTTTCTCGAAACACGATTTTACAACGCATTTTAAAAATGTTATTTTAAATATACTATTAAAAATTCGAATGGAAAAAATTAAAATTGTTGCAGTTATTTTGCTTGCCGCGGAGCGCCTCCAATTTGACGCGGCTCGCCGAAATGGCTGTGGCTGTGGTCGTTTTTAATTTTTTTTTACAATTATATCTTTAATATCATGATTTTATTACATTGCCTTCTGGCCGAAAAAAATGGCATAAACATACGTTTTTTAGGCTGCTACAGTGGTGTAACCCCTTAATAGAATATCCGTCACCGTCAAAAGTGATGAAATCTGCGTTTTATACATTTTATATCACCTTCAGATCACTCAATATTTTCATATTCTGCAGTTCATTTTCTTTCATAATAAATATTTTCGATAGGCACTCGTTCTCAATGCCCTTCGTCATTCCATGATTATAACATGATGTATGGGGATCCCATCTGTTTATGACACCAAAGAAATTCAATTACCATCATGACGAAACTCGTTTAATATATTTAAGTAAGAGAATATAATTCGGGGTGAAGTATTTTTGTCAATATGTACAGACTTAATACTTCTAAGTTGGAAAACTATACATTAAGTACAACTGTACGTTTGCTTTTTATTTGTGTTCGATGCGCACTACCTTAATAGGATACTACAAATGTGCGGAATGATCTATTAATATTAAATATTAATGATATCATTAAATAGAGATCTTTTCTCTTAATTGCATCATTTATAATATATACGTCTATTATCTGTACTCGTAAAAAACCCATTTTCTCAACAAAATATAGAAGTACTAAGAATGATGTAGGAAGCAGTTTCTCATCTAATTCTTATATAAAAGATACGTAATAATACACATGTAGACTTTTATTAAGATTTATACTAAAATTACATTTAAAAGGTTATTTGTGAATTTATTCAGACATTAATAATAGATATTTTTATTCTGAATATCTTCAAAACTCTTATTTGTACATCAAATTTTTTTTTTAAATTAAAATTTGAACTTTTTGACTTTTACCTAGTATCTTGATCACAATGCACTAATTATAATGTTTAAAATTAATCATTTGTGTATTTTATAAACATTTTTTGGGTGAATTTTAGAGTTCATTGTCTTTGATGGCCTTTTGCCAAAATTTATAGTATGCTTTTTGCCGTTTGTTATGGCAGCAAAATCGTAAATTATCAATATCAATAGCGTTCATAGCAATTTGTTATATTCAGAAGTACATTTTGTTTTTCTAGATAATATTATTAAGTGAAATATTATTTCAGTTCATGTAATAGAGTTTTAGCTCAACTTTTAATTCATTTGTTTACTATTATAAAACACCTATTTTATTATATTATATTAAATAAATAATGGGTGATACAAACCTAAGGCATCTTCGTGAGCTGAATTAAACTCCAACTCGATTCAGGAAAGAATAGAGTAAGAAATTTCTCATTGCCATTTCACAACGCAGTGCCCGTTCCCTTTTCAATTGGAAACATATTTCTGATCTATATTTTCAAGTGAAAATCGACATCGCTGCTGCACGATGTCAGGTCGACCAAAGAGCCCATGAGCTTAATTATTATACCATGGAACATCAATATTACAATTTATAAGCAAAAGTATAAAATTACTACATAAAAAAATTACGTGATATAATATTATGGTCACAAATGATTAATGATTGCAAATTTGTTTTGGGAATACTTATGTAGACGTATGCAAATATGAATTTGCGGTATTAATAATAGATCTAAAAGCGAAATATGTTTTTAAACAAAATAGTAGAACAAAATTCAAGCTTAATATTATTTTTCTAATAACGCGATCATTTTCTACTGACTTTTGAATTATATTTTAGAAGGTTTGCTTGATTTGAAATTCTCATGTGAATTGATAAAATTTATTAAATTTATTATCAATTTATTAAATGTTCACGATAATCAGGTTGAATTTTATTATTATTATTAGGTTTTTTCTTCTTATAAAGCAAGAAAAATGAGTTCCAAGCATTTTAATAAGTACAGGAGAAATGCATTAAGAATGTTCAATTAGTATTAAAAATTATTTCTGCATTTGGAATGGGAATAAAATAAGCTTTTTAATTCACCTTTAAGCGAGCCCACATATTCAATTTATTAAAAAAGAAGTTTTCTTTGAATTTCTCGAAAATTTTTATTTTTATTGAAAATTTGAACGTTTTTTCAGGAATTTTGATTTTTTGAAAAGTTATTATATATTTTTGAAATATTAGGCTTATTCTAAATTGAAGATTATATCTGAAAAATTATTGAAAGTCATTTTCTGTTAGTAATATTAGTAAAACAATATTTTGAATGATAAATCTTTTTGTTCAATGGTACGAAATATTTGAAATTTGTTGTTCTTAAACTTAATTTGAAATGTATAAACAGCCAATATTGGTCTTTTAATTCTTTGACTAAAACCCCATTTCTAAAAGCTTATCACCATTTATCAATAATATCTTATAAATAATATATTTTTCGAGAGATTCCATAAATGAAATTTAGCTTGTGGATAATGCCTGAAATTATATTATGTCAT